TTAAAAACAAAAACAAAAAAACTATCCCTGTGTTGGAGACTGAGGAAATGGAAACCTGAGCAGGACAGGTACCTTGCTTGACATTCTGTGTCAGGGACGGGGAGGAGGAAACCCAGTAGCCTAACCCAGAACTCAGTGCTTTCATGCAGAGACTGAGAAAGGAGATGCTTGCCTTGGTCACATTCTGTGCACGTAGAAAGGCTCAAAGGATGCTGAGCTGGGAGTCTCCTGAAAAGTTCAGAAAAGTCACCTAACTGAGGCAGTTTTCTCCTTGGGTAGATGGGGATAGTGATCTCTACCACCTGACTCAACAGGCTTCCTAGAGTATTGGGTGAAATCTAATGGATGTGAAAATACACAGAAACTAAATAAATGCTTGGTGTTGTGGTGGCTGTTGAGTGGAGAACTGAGGCTCACTGCTGTACTCTTTACTCTTCAGGCGGAATTTTCAGAGCTTAACCTGGTGGCCCATGCAGATGGAACCTACGCCGTGGACATGCAGGTGCTCCGGAATGGCACAAAGGTTGTCCGGTAAGGGCCTTTCTGTTCTTGGGGTTGCTGTCACCTCTGACTTGATGGGGGTAGTTTCAAAGTCAACTTGAGATAGTACCACTATGTGTTACAATCTTACTCCAGCATTAGAGAAAGCAACTTGAAGTTTCACAGAATCACTTAGAGGTAGCTGAATTCTGTTAAGACATCTTCCTACCTTCAAGTCAGCATGGGTTTGTGCTTCTGTCTTCCCAAATAGTTCCCCTGGGAAACCAGGTTCCATTGCCTTTTAAAACACCTGACCGCCATATTTATGCCAATTTGCTTAGATTCACTCGCAGTTGGCAGCAAAGACTTGTGCTGGATGCATGTCCTTGTGACACTCATCCTGTAGCCTTTCTTTATTCTTCATTCCCAACATCTCATATGTCTGACGGGAAAATCTAGTATTGGAATAGACATTGTAGATGAAAGAAAACGACCAAGTGCTGAGCATTTCCTTGCCAGGTGGTGTCCTGGGTACCTAGGTGGTGGTTTCAAAGTCTGGGAATATGGTATATGCACAGCAGTTCCTTCAGGGAGGAAGTGGGAATTCCAGATGAGAGAAATGGTTTCCATTCTCCACAGAAACTTAATGTTGCTTTAGGTTTTCAGACATAAGCCTTATCCAGGAGGGGTTCAGGACCTATATCTCTCTCTTCCTCACCTCAGTCACAGGACCCTGACTCCTAGGAGGCAGAATCTGGGTCAGTGACAGGAAAGGTCAGACTGGGGATGTCTGGGACCTAACAACAAGGAAATGGGCTTGCCCTTTCTGAAATATGAAGGACAATGTAGGTGTGAAGTGAGCTTAGGGAGGTCCTACAGCAGGATAGACAGGCTTCTCCATCCATGGGTCAAATGTGTCATGGAAATGCATACCTAGGCAGGTAGTGACAGAAGGTCCAGCAGCAGGGCTCCAGGGCAGGTGCCAATATGGGAACTTAGATTGTTCCTATAACTGGGATATGAGGTTGGGATTTGATGTCAGGAATACAGGTGGACTTCAGTGTCCAATAAGAAAGGCCTATTGGGGTTATCTGGACTTTACATCAGGTCCCAGAACTTGGGACAAAGGTTAGAGTACCCTCAGCAGATGGCATATTATCTTGGTAATAAGTGTTTGAATGACTCTGGAAAGCTTTAGCCTCACTAGAGCTGATCTCTGAGTTGGGTTGGGCTGGATCTGTAGGTGGGGGTTGGATGGGTGCCTGGGCAGACGACCAGGTAGGTCATTGTACATGGTGTCAAATGCTGAGCCGCAGAGCCTTTGGGGCAGATGCTGCCATAAACTGCCTCTCTGGGACGGTCTCTGAAGCTAGGGCATGAAGACAGGCAACCTAGTCCTCTAAAGCAGCTATGGCTAGGAGCTTTGCTGGCTAGAGGTGAAAGTAGGGAAGCTTTCCCATGCATGGGAACATTCCGTACTCTAAGTGCTTCCTGCAGCCCCGTTGCTCAACCTCAGTTCTGCGAAAAATATTTGCACCCCTCCCTAGCGTCCGTTTTGGAAGAACAACATTGGGAAGTTTGGCATCTGCCCTCGGCCAACCTAGTGCCTTGCTCTCCTGAGGCCTGATGAGGGCATTGCCTATTTTAAGGAGCAGCTGTAAGGAAGTGAACAGCATATGAAAATCAGAGATCTGGTAGTAGTGTGGTCTTCCAGGACCTGACTCTAGCATCAACTCTGGAAGCACAGGAGATTCAGGCTTTCACACCACCCCATGAAGACAGATAAAGGTCTCTCTCCTTTAAGGTGTGGGCCTCTAAACATGTGCTAGAAAAAAGATAGCATTTAGTTCAGATGAATGGAACAGACTCAGAAACACAGTTCTCAGAGCTCCATTGAAAAGAGCCATGATACCCCATCCTGAAAGGAGTAATAACACCAGGGTCATGGACTGGGTGGTCCTTGACATCTCTTCTGTCTTAGGCTTTGGAAATATGTCACTTGAGGCGCTGCTTAATGGAAACTTGCCTCTGTATTCTTATCAGGTCCTTCAGGCCAGACTTTGTGCTCATCCGACAGCATGCATTTGGCATGGCAGAGAATGAGGACTTCCGCCACCTGGTCATTGGCATGCAATACGCAGGCCTCCCCAGCATCAACTCCCTGGAATCCATTTACAACTTCTGTGACAAGCCATGGGTGGTAAGGCACCTTTCCTCCACTTCCCCAGAGTACTTCCAGCACTCCATTAGTAGCATCAACTGAGATCTGAGGCTTGGGCACCGGGAAACCTGGTGGAGTAGGCCATCACAGTAGCATGTATCAGATGTGCTGGGCTACACACTTCTGCTGTAGAGGAGACCTCTGACCTTTCCCCCATGCTGCACAAAGATCCTGTGACAGAATCCTTACAGGTCTGTTGGTCTTTCCTTGACTAGGGCCACAGTGATAGAAGTGCCTGCCTCTTGCCTCTTAAAATGGGTAAACTATTGGAAGGACCTAAAACTGATAGAGAAATCCAACTCAGAGGGATATTAGAGACAGAGTTCTACTAGCATTTCAGCAACCTCAGAGTCAGATTCATCCACACATGTGAACCCAGCAGTTAGTGTACTGGGTTCCTTTGAGGTACTGAAGTCTTACCCATTCGTGGGAAGAAAAAAAGAAAATGAGGCACATAAAAAAACTCCTGCTGTTTGGTGCCATCCCCTGAGATTATTCTATGTAATTGCATTTAATCTTCACGATAAGCTTACCAGGGAGGTATTATTATTTTCACTCTTGCACAGAGCAGTAAGACCCAGGAAGGATTAAGTTACTTGCCAAACTTACAGAGCCAGGATTTCTGTATGCCACACTGTCTCTCTCACAAAGTGAAGAAGAGCTGGCTTGGCTTCCTCTTCCCCAGTCAGTCTAGAAACCTTGGAGGGCTGTGGAAGGCATTAAGAGAATGAAGCATGGGGGCCTAGGGTGACGGAAGACTCTCCTCTGCTAGCTCCGCTGTCCCAGGATGGCCTCATGGAAGGAAATGCTTGCACCTAATCATGTCTTCTTCATCTTCTTGTTTTTCAAAAATCAAATTTCACACATGCCAGATTGCCAAGGATCACCAGGCCTATTGTGACATTTCTGAACCTTAAACTTCTCTGATCTGGGAGTTGGAGGGATATCCTACAACCACATGGGCCCCTAGCTCTGCTATTGACTTTTTGTTCTTCCACACAAATGGACAGCTTTCCTGTTCCCTGGGTACCAGAGACCTTACAGTGTAGGAGGAAGAGGTGTGTGTGGACAAGGAGGAAGCTTGAGAACTGTTGTGGTTAAGGAGAAGATGGGTTCCTAAGCTTCACTAGTGGCTTTCCCTATGTGTGGCCTGTGACATCTGGAATCCTACTGTTCTGCAGAAATTGGCTAAAAGGGTGTTGTGATTTGAGTGTGATGCCTATCTCAGAAAACACATATGAGACAGTTATCAAATCTCTTCTCTAGGAACCTCCCATTTCTCCTCAGTCACATGATCTTCCTCCTGAAATATGCCCTAACTTACCCCATCCCCACTTCCTGTCAGAATTTGGTTCTCATAGCTACACAAGGTGATTCCACTGGTGTCAGTTTTTGCTGAGTAATTTAATGATGCGGCCCTATGACTAACCATCATCTTTTGTGCCCCAGTTTTGGTGTGTACAAACTGTAACTAATAGTATATGCCATTACTTTGCCAATGTGGTTATTATGGTTCCCTGATTATCTGTGACCTCCTAAAGAAAATAGTTCCATGCTTTTTTCCTAAACTGTGGCAGAGGCTAGAGAAAGGCGGAACAGAAAGATCCCTCACAGGATCTGGGATCTGGTAAGGGGTCACATTCTCACCCATTCACAATCCCAGCACACTGCCTTTGGCATTGCATGAGAACAACAGGGCTTTCTGGCCACACACCAAGTTCTCCCTGCAGTCTCACTAAGCAGCTGCCACACAAATGACATTTTACGTATTGTTCTCAGCTTGTCAGTAGAATGATGGTGAGGGGAAGTGTCCCTCTGATACAATAACTTTGTTTCTTGTTTCCTAAATTTCTTACTGTGGGTGTTCTTGGTGTTAGGAGAGGCATCCAGTGGGCTAGAGAAGGGTACCCCTTGCACCAGAATGACTCTAAGCAAGTCTGCTGTCCCCAGGCAGTCACTGGCCAAGGCAGTCACTTGGATTTCAGAAGGAGAGAAATAGTTCTGTCAATGAAAGCAGAAATCCAGAGAAAGCAAGAATGCCACCATCCCTGATTGCTCCACTGTAGCTGAATTTTGGGTTATTTGGAGATTGATAGGCCTGGGTTAAACTAAAGCATTTAATATCTAGGAGAGACAGGGATAACATATTATTCAACTAGGACCCCAAACCCCATTTCTTTAATGAAGTATTTCTTGAGTCATTAGATATGTGATTTAAATAAACATCTTTCTGTTCACACCCAACACCACACAAGTTCTTAGATTTGTTTTTCAGTCTGCATAGAGGAAATAGCCTTTATCAGATATTACCTTTGTTTAATTGGTAACTGTGTACTTGCAACTTAATCTAAGTTTCCAGGGAGGCAGAGGTTTGATGCCAAGTCCAGTCCATTAATCAGACAGGGAATGGGGTAAGGAGGGTAGAGTGGGCTTTCAGGGACCCAACTGGAGCCTGGGAACTGGCTGTCATTTTAGTCTTGGCTGTCCCAGGGCTCTGGGAGTCTGCCTGAGGCCTTCCTGGCATCCATGTAGTTGTCTGTGTAACTCACCCACACGTAGGGAAGATAGCGCCCCACATGTCTTGGTGCCATGCCAGAGTGTGGGCTGCAGCAGGACAGAGGTCTTTAGGCAGAGCTGGCATCAGTTCCCTGGGGATGCTGGAGAGCCTCAGAAGCCTAGGCAGAAGAGGAATCCTGCCAGGTCCAGGTGGGCAGGTAGATCTGAAGATCAGGTGAGGTAGTAGGAAGAATTGGAGAAGGAAGGAAGGAAGGAAGGAAAGAAGGAAGGAAGGAAGGAAGGAAGGAAAGAAGGGGCTGAGGGTCAGTCGGAGCAAACTGAAGAATCCAGTGATGAGAAATAAACAGAGAACAATAGAGGATGCAGTGGGTACTGAATAAAGAAACTTGGGCACTCTCCCAGTATAGCTTCAATGCAGGTATGCTCTCAGGCTTCCCTAGCCTGTCTCCTCAGCCCTGGTGTGGAGGCTGAGGCCTCTCTCAACAATTCTAAAGGAAGTCTTTGACCTCTGAAGTTACTAGTTCCCCACAAAAGGACCACAGTCTGATGGAGGAGTTTAAGGCTAATGCAATAAAAGATGTTCTTCCTAATGCCCTGTGTGAGAAACTGAAGGAACACACCCTTCTCTGCTTAAATCTGAAAAGGGAGCCGGGGAGGGACCTTTTGTCCAAAGGTAACTAGTGGGTTAAAAGAAAAACACTAGGAGACTTCACTTTGCTAGAAACTGTCCCAGAATAGCTCATATGCTAAGAACCCTTACAGAGAATGGGACCTGAACTTTGGGAGAAAAAATGTCCTAGCTTTCCTGTCTTTGACAAGGTTGGTCCAACAACTCTCCCTTGCAACTGACCATGCTATTGGCGATTTGTAACCTGAACTGAGCCCACTATAGAGAAGATGCTAGATTTCCCCTACTGCCCATGCAGGGGTTGGCATCACTGGATAAATGTGAACCAGGCAGCAAAGATCTGTTTCCCATGAGAAGTGCATGATCTGTAGAATCTGAAAAATAGCTACTCAGAGGATTGGGGAGAAATTCAGATTGGGAGTGAAGGATCTGGCAGTGGCTCTTGCTCAAGAGAGTGACTCAAGGCAGCTAACCTCTCTGTTCTTAGTCTGTGAGTATTTTTGCCACAGATTAAAGGGTCTAGCAAGTTGAGTGCTTGTAATTCCAGCAAGTCAGTACCAGGAAGATGGATCTGTACGTTTTACCACTGTGACCCTCCAGTCTTCCTGAAGAACAGCCACATTCATGCCACCTCTTGTGCAGACTCTGGTGGCCACGTATAGCACATGGGAGGGTTGTCATTTATTTCTTTGCCTGGCGATAGAACTTCTGAGACTTGGCATGCTACCTCTTCAGCTTGCTCCATTACTCAGAAGAGTTCAATTTTCAGTCCTAGCTTCACCTCTTTTCAGTTCTATTATTGATTTTTATTTGAGATAGTATTTTATCATTTAGTCCAACACAATGGCCTGGAGCTCACTCTGTAGTCCAGGATGGCCTCAGACTCGTCATCCTCCTGCCTCCACTGAGTGTAACACACTGTGATTCAAGTGAAGGTCCCTACCCCTTCTCAGCCTTTTCAATTTGAAAAGAAGATTGGGTGGAAACTATCAAAATTAAGCAGGTCCTCCACGAATACCAGTTTTCTTTTTGCCTTCCTCTACTAAAGCATATATCCTTGAAATTGCATGTGCCTTTCCTTTCTCAGTATTGTCAGTTTATTTAACACAGTGTCTTCTACAGAGAAAAATGCTCTATTATTCATTTGACAAGTGGATGTTTTGTCTGGCCCAGAAGTTGAAGATACAATGAAATTCTTTCTTGTCTTTTGCAGTTTGCCCAGATGGTAGCCATCTTCAAGACCCTGGGAGGGGAGAAATTCCCACTCATTGAGCAGACATACTATCCCAACCACCGAGAGATGGTAGGTGGCTATGTGGCGCCTTGACTATGCTGTTCCTACTCTTGGCCACATGGTGACTCTGGAGGTCTGGCAAGGGCCTCAGCAAAACCTCAGGTAGCTATAGCTGCTTAGCTGCTTAGAGCAGCAGAAGTGGCCAGATTCTAGCCAACAGCTTTTTGTTTTTCGATTCTGGGGACAGAGGAGAAAAGCAGAAACAAAGGGCATTTTAATGTGAGAGAGTAATAAATCTGTGAATCAACAATCAGGAAGTTTCACAGTTTTGAATATAGCTCAAGCTTTGCCATGTGTCTCTGGGGTTGTTACAGTCTCTCACTATATGCCAATTTCTCAACCATGCCGAGTGGGAATAGTTACCCTTGAACAGGATATCTGATACGACGTGCATATGATTTCAGAGAGATCCCTCAAGTAATAGCCTTCTGGTGGGTGTGAAGCCTCCTGAGACAGAAGCTGTTGCTTCTGTTATTCTCCACTAGACTTCATTTCCTTCACTACCTCCAAATTGTGACAAAGCAGAGTTAATCCTATGCCTTCTCTGAATTCACCCCTGGAGGTCAGAAGGAAAAGAAAACTGGTTGGTTGAAAGCTGTGAGGATGTTTCATATGGAACAGCCTGGAGGTTACTGTCCATCTTTCTCCCCACCCCACTCCCTCTGCCCAAGGATGGTGTGGATTATTACTGGATGTTCTCACTTGGAGACTCACTGCCAGTGTTGTGTTCTGGGACAGAGATCATGTTTGGTCCCCTCCTACTCACTCCTCCAAAGGGGAGCTCTATCATTGCATTTAAATCCAGCACCTTCTTCCAACACAGCACACATGGCCCTATCACCAGCTGACCACATATCAAAATGAAAAACAGTCCTAAGTTGTCAAAAGACCTGATGATCCCAACCATCTTTTCCAGAGATTTCCCCAGGAAAAGGTTCTGGGATATTGAGTTCTATGAATTAATAAACCGTTGAGGCCATTGTCAGTGTTTTCCCACTTAGACAAACCAGGAAGACTGAGGAGCCTCCAGGGGCTGGTATCTAGAGTCCAAGTCACAGAGGTGAGGGGACTTAGCTGAAGGGTGGAAATACTCTGAGTGAGTCGCAGCTAGCTGTCTGCTGCTGTATCACCAGGCAGGGATAGCTGCTGAAGAAACTTGAACCAAGTGCAAGCCGTGTTCCCTGTTAGCATCTTTTCCCCCAGAGGGTTTTTTAAAAACTGTCTCCCTTCTACCCTCTACTGCATTTTGGCCTTAGAGAAGACCATGCTCTGGGGTCACTTTTATTGTTGTTTCATCTTTTTGTTTTTGCTTAAAAACAAAGTTCTAAGGTAGGAACAAAGACATTAGCAACCTAAAGGAGGCTGAAGAAAGTTCCTGGACATGAACTGAAGGTAGTAGGGATATTTAACATGGAAGGGAAATGCTTGTTCTTGTGTAGTAAGTCTTTCCTTGTTCAGAGATGTGTGCTAACTGGGCCAAACCTTCTGCCAGCAATAGTATCAGGGGACTTGCAGGGCACCAGGAAGAGTGGGCTGTGCAGCTCTCACTGTGTTCTTGAAGCAGATGAAAATGTGTCAGAGGATTAGGGAGTGGAGGATATGGAGCTTTAGTGCATTCTTTCATTTCAGCCAACCAGCCTACTCAATATACAGTCACCCCCTTCCATGGCATACATCATGAGGTGGAACCATCTTACGACACTCACAGCTTCTCCCTTACATTTTCCTGACTAGAGAAAACAAAGCCAGAATAAAAACTTTCAGTAATAGGTATAAACTAGACTACCAAGGTTTAGGAGACAAGGGAGAGGGGCTGAGGGCAAGGCAGCTAAGTCATACTACCTTCCCCAACCCTTGATAAGTTGTAAGCTGGAGATATGGACACAAGTTGTGGAATGTTCCACAACTGCCATGATGCTGGCCAGGCCACCCATTTATCACTTCCTGTCATCTGGCAGCAACATGGCAGGTGGTGATGGCCAGAGTACCACAGAGAACTGGCTTCATTTTCAGGACTCTTCCAAGGATGTGGTGGTCACTGGTACTGGTCTCTACTAGGGCTGGATGATGTCAACATACTCCTTCCGGAGGTGTAGGTGGCCCCGGTACCAGCTGCAGATGCCATCAACGTGCTTCATGCAGACATAGTGCTGGGCCTGGTACCCATAGAGCTTCCGTTCCAGCAGCCAGTCTGTCCAGAGACACTCATTGGGGGCTGAGATGGTACAGGGTACCGCGTAGCAAGTGGTGATCTAGTCATAATCACACAATATCAAAGTGAATAGTACCTTTTTCTGTGTCCTCACTGCCATCTCAACTGCCTTTGTCTTTTCCCAGTCTCAAGACACCTCCTTAGCTCTCCTCCCCCATCCTTCCTAGGGTCACTGGACTCAGCCTTGATGACTCCCAACTGTCATGACTAAATACTCTTCAGAGTCTTGATTTCTTTACCTTAAAACTAAAGTCTTGTTTCTTTATAAATTTGCTATAGACTAAACTAAAATTTGAAAATAAATAAGTTATCACAGGGTCTGGAAAAGGGTACTCTGTCTTCCTGTGCTCCCTTTTCTCATTTAGAAAAACAAAAAGCAAAACAACAACAACAACAACAAAACTGGTGTCTTACTATGTTGCCTAGGTTAGCCTCAAACTTCCTCCTTCCTGCCTCAGCCTCTCAAGTACTGCTATTACAGTACAGCTAAGCCACCACACCTGGCTTAGATTTTCTTTAAATGATGATTTAGCGTCATTTCAGCTTGCCCTGTGTGATTGCAGTGTCCCACCCAAAGCATAAGTACTACTTTGAGATAGGTACTGCAGTCTATGCCTTCATGACCCCAACTCCATGGTACAACGTAAGTGCAGGAAGTGAGTAAGTACATGTATGTAGAAGAAAACATGAAGGATGAGAACCAAGGCTCTAAGCTTGTCCCTTACCCACAAAAAACCTTACTTGGCAGCCACAGTTCTGGTGATAGTGGTGATTCAGACTCTCCCTCTGCACCCAGGACAGGTCCTCCCAGGGCTCAATGTAGTTGCACAGATGGATGAAGACTTTTCCATCACTGAGAATCTGGCCTTTGTGTGTGTGTGTGTGGGGAGAGAGAGAGAGAGAGAGAGAGAGAGAGAGAGAGAGAGAGAGAGAGAGAGAGAGAGAGAGAGAGAGAGAGAGAGGAGTCTAGTCAGGAAACTGCATAGGACTCCCAGGGCTTCCCATCATTAAATAGCCCTTTTGTAATGGCCCTCCCTCCCTCCCTCCCTCCCTCCCTCTCTCCCTCCCTCCTTCCCTCCCTTTCTGTTTGTGCTGAAATTATGCCATATGTATGCTAAACACACACTATACAACACAGAGAAAACTCTAGTCTCAAATGACTTTATGACAACAGTGCCTACTTTGGACTCAATGAAGGGACCAGACAAATCCCTATATAACCTTTAAAGTAGAGATTAATTCATGTTGTCTGTGTAAGGAAGGCAGAATTGTGGAATCTAGTGGAGATCTTTTTCTTTAGCACAAAGCAGAAAGGAGGTGGGATTTAAAATCAGCCTGTAGCTTGTCAGAGCTGGTGACTCATGCCTGTAACCTTAGCCCTCAGGAGACTAAGGCAAGAGGATCAAAAGCTTGAGGCCAACCTGGACTCCATAGCAAGACTCTATCTTAGAGAAACAGACAAACAAACAAAAGGTACAAATAGAAACCAAATAACAAAATGACTGACTGCAGGCTTGGGAATGTAGCTCAGTAACACATGCTTAGCTTGTATGAGGGCCTGAGCTAGATCCCTAGCCCAGGGAGGGAGAAAAAAAGCCAGACTGTGGGTATGACTCCTCCTTTTATATACTAGCTGCTGTAACCAACCATAAAGAAGGTCACAGGAGCTTTCAGGTAGAGGATGGGAGTAGGAAAGCTGTTGGTGAGATTAAATAAGGGACTGTATATAGAGTTCTTGGTATAGTTGTTGGCCCACAGGAGATGTCTACTCCTTTTCAATATCCACACTGGGCTCTCCTGCCCAGTTGATATCTGTCTTGGTGAATATTTTCCCATAGTTCATTTTGTCTCTCAGGGAGAAAGATGCAGGGTACTATGTCACTGACAAATGACACAGAAAAACGACAATGGTCACAGTGTTCTGGCCACAAATAACTTTTACCTATCAATGAAGGGACCATTGGCTTCTCCTGAAGGCATGGCACCACTGATACTTTTTGTAGAGTTATGTTTTCTCCACCCTTGGTTATTCTTGACCTCCTCCCCACACACCATGTTCACTTTTCCCTGATACACCTCAGTGCCTCAGTGAGGGTGAGACCCACAAAGTGGGTGCTCAGGAAAGGGGATGGGTGTCAAGAGATGTAAAGAGACTAGTCTGCTCATGAAGGAACTCTGTAGAGGCTGCCCAGGGCAGCACAATCTCACATCCTTAGAGCTAGGAGCCCCTTTCATTGTGTCCTCTAGTTCCTGTCACTCTTCAAGAGCCATGTCTGGACTATGGAGTCTTTGAGACTGTGACCTATTCCTGAGTCTCCACTTTACTGCCCAGACCCGGCAGTATGTAGTAGATGGTTATCTTCTGGCTCTACGGATAGAGTAGAGCTCTCCCTATTCTCCCTGTGGACCCGTGCTTTTGTTTCCCTTGATTTCTTTACAGATGTTTTCCATCTTGTGGCCAGCTTAGAGCCCACTCAAACAGTGAAGCTTCCCTGCCTGTTCACAACCACACTAGCACCTCTTTCCCAGAATTCCATAATACGTTAGTACTGTATTTCTTTAGTCCCAAAAAATATTCTTAGATATTTTGGATGGATGACTCATTTACTGTTCTGTCCCAACTAGTTCAGTATAGAGTAGGCTGGCCCAGGAGGAGTTCATTGGGGTGGAACTGTAGAGTCAAGCTACAGTGATAGATAACACAGGAAACACCTTCAGGAGATGTATTTGGACTCAAGATGCCAAAAGTCTCATACCAATTAACGCTTTCAAAATGGAACTAGCTGTCCTTGGTTGGTAGAGCAGTTTGTCCTTAAAATAGTGGAGCAGTGGCCAAGATCGCTATATCAGGGACTCTTGCATTGAAAGGGAGTTAGTTTCATTGCTCCTCCCAACTAAAAGGCTATGGTCACTATCACAACTCTGCTTAGCCCCTTAGCTTACCAGTCAAAAGATACTGCTTCTGGCTGTTGGTCTCTAGCTTCACACCGCAGAGAGACGAGTCAAATGGTGTGTAGACATATTGAACATCATTGGCCTTCTCAAACCCTTTAAACATCTGAAAGGCAGTTATGGAAGAGCAACAGTGGGTCAGGTCAGGGCAGTAGGTTAAAAGATACTCATTTCTTTCCAAACCTTAAGCAAAAGTTGAATTCAGGCTGGGTGCACAGATGACCTCGCTGGTTTGTTTGTTTGTTTATTTTTAAATAAGTCTAAACCTTGATTTATTCCAGGGAAGGTCCCACGGACAAAGAGCTATAAGACAGGATAGACAGCAAGTCCCCACCCGGAACAGTCACTAGCCCATACTAGCTAGCTCTTACAGTTCCACTTCAGCACCTTCCTAAGGAGACCTGAGACCATTGCTTGACTCTCACCAGGTTCATCCCTCCCATAGCACAAACCCCATCCCTCCATCAGACCATCATGGCTCAGCCCCTGTCCTGCCCCATGTACCTTTATCTGTTTGATTTCATACCGGATCATTTTTTGAGTGTCAGTAGGGTCTTCACTGGCAGGAACTACCTTCTCACTGGAGATCTTGGCCCGAATTACTACACAGAAAAATAAAGGGGAGGGGGAACTTCGGTACTGTTGGAGTGTGCAATCTCAGGTCTGGATTGCCTGGAGTCCTCTGAATGTCCAGAGATTGGTTCTTGTGTTTTTGGGTTCTCAGCAGTATGATGCATATGAGAGAAGGGGCTTGCCAGCTTCAAACCCTTCAGGGTTATTAGGTCCTTAAACTGTGTTCTGCCTTTTAACCTGTCAGTTTCTAGAGCTCAAGTTCTCCATAGCCCTGAGTGTAGCCAGCAGAAAATAAGAGTCTCTTCAAGGCAACTAGTATGAGACCTATCTATTGATACATCTTAGAACCTCATAGCACGCCTACAAGCGACAGTTAAAAAATATTTATAAAATTTGTAAATGTCTCCACTCTCCATTGAGGAAGTTCATCACTTGCCATCTAATCAAGAACTGTTTTTTGTTTTTATTTTTTTTTCATGTATTGAACGCTGAACCTAAAGTCTCACACTTAAGAGGCAAATACTCTATCATTGTGCTACAGCCCCAGCCCTGGAAAATTTGTTTAAAAAGTTCTTGTTCTCTCCCTGACCTTGCACTAGGCGCTAGGATCATCGACAGTGCCATCTTCCTGCAGAAGGTGGAGAACATTTTATTTAAAAAAGCAGCATCCACTACAAAGGGGGCAGCAAGGAACCAAAAAGCCTTTAGGAAATGAAGGGTGAATAGTAGTTTGCCAGGAAGTTAAAAGTGTGAAAGAAGGGTCTCCAGGTAAGGGGAGAGAAAGGACAAAAGATGTAAGTCCTGGGGTGACACATTGGCAACTTCAATTGCAGGCAAGGAGGCAGGTGTTACCGTGCAAACGCCCCACCCCTCAGGAGTTCTGAAACTTGCTGGCAGCTCTAGTGACAGCGAGGGTCCATCGAGCTGAGCTGACAGGAACTATTCTGGAGATCTGTGATAGAATATTTATTCTCCTACAAATCAGGCTTTGTGCTTCCAAGGTCAATAAAGCAACAGCATGTCTGACCTATCAGCTGCAGCAGGAGACACCCGTACAGGATCTGAGCTCCGCCCCTTCCCTCAGATTCCAGGTCTACAGCTCAGCCCAACACCAGTTTTCCCACAGGCAACCCCTGTTGTGGTCCTCAAGGGCCACGGACAGACTCACCTAGAGCTGAGTGGCAGACGTGCTGCTGAGGGTGCGCAGGAGCGCAGGTGCACGCCTCACCCAGCCCCGGGGGCCGCAGCAATGCCAGCAGCCGCAGCACCAGCGCCCAGCTCAGCGCATCTAGGGGGCTCCAGGGCATGACACTGCAGAGCCCCAGCTGAGCTCGTGGGGTCTGCCTGTCGTAACAAACAGCCCCTCCAGGACTCCTCCAGAAAGCCTCATGCAGTCCAGTCTTTATGAGGTGGCTTTAGGGCCAATCCCGCCCTCCATGGGCTCCTCCCTCCTTTGGCAGCAGGCCACCCACAGCCGCAGGACCCAAGGCCCTCCTGACCAGACCAACAGACCCAGTAATGCAGAGGGAAGCGGGCAGATTCCGAAAGAGGCAGCAGCCTGAACGTAGATGGAAGACATGGTGTTGTGGGCAGAGAGAGAAAAGCAAAGACCAGCGCAGAGACAAGAAGGCGCAAAGATGAGGGACTAAGGCTCCTGCAAGAGGAGCAAGTGAGGGGAGGCATAGACACAGGGAGACCCAAGCCAAGTCAGAGGCAGACAGAATTACAACAGGCAAAAGAGACAGTGACAGAGGAGGACGGACCCCTCGCTGAGCTGCATACTGGGAATGAGACAAGCTACTCAGGGCTTCTTTCAGCCGCAGGAAGTGTTTTCAATGCCCTATTTATGAGGCTCCAAAGCAACAGCAAACAGTCAGGGAACAGGACAGAGAAAGTTGGGGTGTGTGTGTCTTGGCGCTGTCAGCTGGGGGGTGGGGAAGGATGTTAGAGAAAGTAGCCAGTGCTTTAAAACCCTTTCTCACAGCCAGAGCCATAGACTGCAGAGAGTTGAGGGCAGTTCTTTCCATGGAGCTTAAAACCAGGGTGTCCTGTCGGTCAGGACAAACTTTGGACCTCAAAGCTCAGACTGCACATCATTGCCCCCTGGAGACGCCATGTTGCAGAAGGTGGAGCCGCTTAGCAAACAAGCCAGGCACTCCGGTCATTGTGACCCAAGCCTTGTCCACTGTTTGTCAGCAAAGTGCTCCAAGAATCTGAATGAAAAGAAATTCGTGGAGTGACTGCCTCAGGGAGAGCTGGAGGCTGGGTCCTGATTCTGGCTGCCACTGGGTCGTTCTGTGATCTTTGCCTCTCTGGGCCCCAACTTTTTCCTCCATAAAATAAGACTGAACTATATGATTCCTCCCTCTCTTCATTTTGCAGTCCAGAGAATCAAACCCAAGACTGAACTATATGATTCCTCCCTCTCTTCATTTTGTAGTCCAGAGAATCAAACCCACATTTCTGATCACAACCACCTCTATTTTTCTAGCGTCTAGTGACAGCTATGTCCTTGAGAAGACACCAGTTAGATGGCAGTGGTAATGCTTGAAAAGAAGGGAGTTGGGAGAGACTGAAACCAGACAGAGACAGGTGGTAGGTCCAGGTGTCTAGAGTAGTTCTTCCCACAATGCTTAGACCAAGATAGAGTTGTCACTCGGAGGGGTCTTCAAAGCATCTGCTCAGTCTTGTCAGTTTACAGATATGAGGGCTAAGAGGTTCAGTGCCATGAGGTGACTGGCAGGTGAGAAGCAAAGAGAATTAGAATCTTCATGGACAGTGTGCTGTCTGTTGCTCCCCCTACTCCATCATGTTCCTGCTTGTGCCTGCATCTTTTTGCAGCTCAAAATCCTGCCTTTGGAGGGCCCTTCTTCTTTTAAATCTTATTCCTCCTCTGTTAAAACAAGGCTACTTCAAGGAAGAGTTTACTGTGTTAAGGATGTCTTCCAAGGGTAAACATACCAAAATCTTATGCCATCTCTCTTCTGAATCCTGAGCTGGACAGAAATAGACCTCAGCATATTAAGTCTGTGTCTGGTACTGGGCTTGTGGTGCTGGTAAGCAGTGAAGAGGAAGAGGACAGTTAGGACCAGTGTGGGAAAGATGACAGGCAGAGATGGGCGAAAGTGCATGCTCAATGGACATCAAAGCACTCCGAATGCATTCCAAACATTTCTAGTCTTTTACAGTACAATTGTTAAATTTACCCCTTCATGAATTAAAAAATTCTCCTTAGCTGAGAGGAAGTCCTGCTAGGATTGTCTAATGCAGAAAAAATTAAAGCAGTGAGATTCAGAAAGCATGATGTAGGAGAACAGGGCACAGATAGTCTGCCTCTAGGCTACTGTGTGGCCTTGGGAAAGTTGCTGTCATTCTATGGGTCCCATGTGTAAAACAAGTGCTGTGTACTAATGATTTCATTTTAATGATCTTATTAGTTATTCAAGAATTTCATGCAACATATTTTAGATAATATTCACCAAAGTTTTTTTCATTATTTACGTGGATGTATGTGTGCCTGCATGAGTTCATGTGAGTCATGTGCATGCAGGAGTATTCAGAGGCCAGAAGGTGTCAGAAGCCCTGGAGCTAGAATTACAGATGGCTCTAAGACACCTGGTGTGGGTGCTGAGCATTGAACCCAGGTCCTCTGCAAGAGCAGTAAGCCATCGTAAATGCTGAGCTCTCTCCAGCCCCTACATTGATTCTCTAAAGGGTGCTTCCAAGGTTCTTTCCAAGGAAAACATTTCAGGATTCCAAAGAGAAAAGACCTACTGACCAGTCCACTTCTACCTTTTCTGTTCTCAGCTCACACTGCCTACATTCCCTGTGGTGGTGAAGATTGGTCATGCTCACTCAGGCATGGGCAAGGTAAGGCGGGATGGCTGGTAGTGGTCTGGCTTTAGTCAAATGGGGCTTTTTCAGCAAACCCATTTGTAGACTATTTTTCCTTTGTCAGTAGATTTCTCCCAAGGACCTGAATAGGTCTCTTGGAAGCCATTGATTTTGACCAATCATACAGTGATGAGTGCAACCAACCCAGCTGGCCCTTTAGATCTTTTGCAACAAGTGTATCCTTGGCTCTGTGAAGGGACTAGAGACAAATGAACTTCTGGGGAGATGGAATACTCATGTTTGCCAGTGTCAGAAACTGTGTGATTGGCTTGGAAGCTCTAAGCTTTCAGTGTGTGTATGCACATGTCCCCCTTCCTGTCTGTCTTACATCAACATTAGGTCAAAGTGGAAAATCACTACGACTTCCAGGACATTGCTAGTGTGGTGGCCCTCACCCAAACCTATGCTACAGCAGAACCCTTCATTGACGCCAAGTATGACATCCGGGTTCAGAAGATTGGCAACAACTACAAGGCTTACATGTGAGTATGTGTGGAGTGTTCAATGGATACTATCCACTTTTCTTCAGTAACTACAGTTTAATCTCATCAGCTCCATAAGGTAGGACCAGGGAGAAGATGCCACTGAGTCAGGCTTCTTAGCCTAAATTCTTTGGAAGTCAGAGGAGAGATCTGAGAAATAAAAGTATAACTATTTCACTAGTCTCCAAGTGGATTTTACTTTCTCTTCAGACAGGAACAAAGGTTGTAGACTACAGTAGTGGCAGTGTGTGGGCCTTTTCACTAGAAGTGGTCACAGGTATTCTTGAATCACAGTCATATAAGTTATAACAAACGTTGCTAAAACCAACTCTTCTCTTTCCTCTTCCAAAAACCATGGCAGTCGTTAAACCTGTCACTACATCATGTTCATAGAAATGCTTATTTTAATATTTAAAAAATGTGCCATGTGACCCTATGTGCTTTTTTTCATACATTACACGTTTTGTACTTGAGAGAGATCTGTACGCTTCACCAGACTGCAAGAGCACAGAATCAGCTGAGCCCCTAATGTTAACACCCAGCCTTGGAAATGCTGCTACCTCCTTCCCAAGAGTGGATGGCTGTTTCACTGAGCCACATCCACCAGGAAGAATGTAGATGTCAGGAAGACAAAAGACTTCAAGATCTGCCTGGCCTTCTGTCATACTCATGCAGACAGTGTGTAGCTCCAATTTTGAGGATGTTAATCTGTGGCTTTTTAAAAGTTAGCTTAGATGTAAAGATTTCTTTACAAATAAAGAGCATTATTAATACATGAATTTGCTTTCTGCCACTCAAGACTTCAGTACATGAAGTTGGATGCCTTCCTGTGTCTCAGCCATACTCACCTGTTCCCACTGTCCTTCTCCCTCCTCTTTTCATTGTTGGTACCTCTGGAGGTAGGGAGATATTCCTTTCCTGCCTTTCTTTCCATACCTGCTTTAAACTTTAGTCCTTCCCAAAAAGATCGTTCTTTTCTAGGGTGAATTTCTTGTGGGGAGAATGATAAAATCACTGTTTCTCACCTTGTAAGCAGGAGGCACCCACAGACTTCAGGGAACACCTTTGAAGAGAGATGAAGCATGATGGTGGGAGTGTCTTTCTGATTTGGGGATTTGGGGATTTTAGTTTGGGGTGTGATCTGTGTGTGTGTGTGTGTGTGTGTGTGTGTGTGTGTGTGTGTGTCTGTCTGTCTGTCTGTCTGTCTGTCTGTCTCTGTCCATGCCTGACCATTAATTTTCCTAGTTATCATTCAAAGTAATGGATTTCATTGTGCCATTTTCATGCACACTTTGTTTTTGTTGCACTCCCCCGTCCCTCCTCCCAGTATCCCTTCTCTGCTTTCATGGCACATGTTTTCTGTTACCTCTTCTTTCTCTTTCTCACCCCAGCCCAAGGCCCATTTTCTAGTTCTTATGGTCCTCTTTCTAGTTTTATAACCTAGATATATAAAAATTAGAATATAAGCTCTGTCTATTAGAATGTGGTATTTGTGTGAATCTGGGTTACTTTGATAATTTCTAGTTCCATCCATTTTTCTGCAAATGTCATGTATTCAGTTTACTTTGTAGCTGAATAAAATTCTGTGTGTGTACCATGTTTTCTTTATTCATTCACCTGTTGATGGACTTCTAGGCTGTTCCATTATTTCCTGACTGTTGAAAGTAGTAAAGCAGTAATATGAATGTACAAATATCTCTGTGGTAGGACTTGAAATACTTAGGATATATTCTGGAGGTAGGATAGCTGGAACATTTAATATTTCTAATTTTAGTTCTGTTTAGGATTTCTTTGGTTTATTCAAGGTCTTTTGTGTTTCCCTATGAATAGTAGGATTTCTATTTTCTACTGTGAAGAATGCTACTGGAGTTTTGATGGGATTGTATTGGCTCTATACCTCTTTTGATAATTAACCAATTTCACAGTGTTGTCAATTCATAGCTGCAAGAGGTTTTTCAGTAGTCTATCTAGTGTCTTCTTGAACACTTTTCTTCAGTGTCTTAACATGTTAGACATCTCTTGTTAA